TACAGGCCCTTATTATGTTGGTCTCAGTAAACAGTCTAAGATATTTTTTAGTAAACATTTTTAGGAAACCGGACACATGTGTTATAGCTGATATTCCTAATAAAAAAAAAAAGAAAAGAAAAAAGATTACAACAGTAACAACACAGTTATTCCATGTACCAATGAGAGTGGCCCATTGTTTTGGCTACACTTTTTTTTGCTACAGAGAAGAAGCTATAAAACATGTCCCTCTAAGAAGCATGCATGCCAAAGGCAAGGCTCTGAGATGACAACAGTCACATTTGTTTTCCTAACACTGTTCATTTGGGTGTTGTCATGTGACACATGGTGCAACCGGGACCTGTATGAGCATTATGAAGAAACAGAGGCCTTTGCTGCATTGTGTAAAAATGTTGCCATTCATGACAATGACAGCACAAAACTAATACAGACATGTTACAGGTGAGTAAATTACAACCTGACTGGTGATCTGTGTGTACATGGTTAGCCGGTGTGGTTTTCCCAGAAATTTGGGAGTCTAAATACCATAAATGATAATATGTTTTGATTTCAAATATGTTACAATTTCAAGTCATTAGTATATTACTGTAATTATAGGCAAAGTAACAGGCTCAGTGCTGTGTTATGATACTTTTTTTAGTTTTGCATTTCATATTTAAAAATGGTTTACCATAATTTTATCTTTCCATCTTATTTAAATGAAATCAAGTCATTTTTATGTGCCTACAAATAATGAATAAATGGAAATTCAAGCAATTTGACTGTAAATAAGTGTAATGAAGACTTCTAAAATGCTATTTAAAAATGTTTATAATTCTTTTCTCATTTTTTAGGACTTCTGAAATTACTGTTGGCTCTAATAATATTTTCACACAAGACAGGATCAAAACAGACTATACAGTTTTTGTGGATCTGCCTTTGAACTGCATGGTCTCCAATGGATGTGTACACCTGCTTCAAGAATATAAGTACACTGTGAATGAAGATAAGGGAAGCAAGCATGTACATAAATGTAGATTTCTACAGTTCTTGGTATATTTGCTGTCCAAGACCAACTGTGTTCCACACATGACACAGGTAACTGCCGGATTTATGATAGAAAAATAAAATGAATCCTACTGTATAGAAAATAAGATGTGAATTTAGAGCACTGAAACATTTTTGCTTATGCCTATTTAATACAGATTGCACTGATAATCCTATGTATTATCTGTAATTAGCCTTCATCCAGATATAATCTAATCATTACAGGATACATTTAAATTACAGAAATACCTGCCCATCTGTTCTTCTGAGATCTCTGGCACATTGAACCCACATTATTACTCTTGTCCTGGTGTACCACCAGAAAAAAAAGGGTTGTATATGCATCTGTAATGTGTACTTTAAGGGAAAACTCATTCTCGTCCCTGTATATAAAGACCCCAAATTCCACCGTGTGTTAATATTTTAATGTTGCTGACAACAAAA